TTTCTTTCATTTCTTAATTATTTCCAGTTCCTTTATTTCTTTTTATTCTCAGTTACATGGACACCAGAGACATTGTCCTTTGAAGTGCTATAACTATACCATCTCAATACTCTCCCCATCCCACATCATCCTTGCTGATCATTGTAGGTACTGATCAGTAGTTTAGAATTTATATAGTGGTGTGAGAAGCATCAGAATGTGTTGAAAATTTTGGATTATATATTTTATGAAAAAGACAGCTCACAACTCACAATTTCATGATGAAGCCTTTCTTTCTGAATGTGAATACTGAATACTGGAAAACATCAGAGTAGCATGTGTGTATTTGAAAATGGGAATGATCTTCCTGGTTTCAATATTTGTTAGAATCCTGAAGAATTTTTATTTATTGCAACATCATTATCATCTCCTTAACTGCAGTGGAACCCAGACAAATTCATCTGAATATAGTCAACTGTTGATCATTCTTTTTAAAAAAATATGTGGTTTTATTGATTTTTAGAGAGGGGGAGGGATAGAGAGATAGAAACAGAAATGAAAGAGAAATATTGATCAGCTGCTCCTTCACACCCTACACTGGGGATCGAGCTCACAGCCTGGGCATGCTCCCTGAACAGGTATTGAACCTGTGACATCTTGGTGCATGGGATGATGCTCAACTAACTGAGCCATACTAGTTGGGCTGTTGATCATTCTTTCTAGGCATTCCAAAAACCATGGTAGCTTTTGATTTGAAATATTTTCTTCATGATTTTGGGTGCAAACTTATTATGTATGTTCACAGCATGGCCATAATTGTGTCTGTTTGCACATATGCCCATTGAGTATCTTCCAGTCCATCACCATGGGCCCAGGATTTCTAGCTGGGCAGAGCTTATAGTAAAAACCCAGTATCCTGTAATGGATCTTGCACGTGCTGGTTAATATGAGAGTTTCTGTGCATATGTTGGCTCAGAAGAACAACACAAACATCACATGAACTATAGATACTGGATACTGTCCTGTATTTCCTGACAAGCTATATGCTTACTGTATGTAGCATTCATGTCTACTACTGAAGTTTTGTGTTGAGAACTTACTATCTGGGGAGTTGTTCCACCATTTTTATTCTGTATAGCCCAAAGCACAGGGCTGAACACATTCATAGGAACAGTGTCTTAGCCAGATGAGTGTTGCTCTGTTTTCTGGTATAAAGGTGAGGAATTCTGAGGAGGTCTAGTAATGCAAATGACAGATAAACCAATTTTTTCTATTCAGCTAGTCATTGCAAAAACAATGAAGCATTCATGGTGCTTACTGTGCAGGAACTTACAGTCTAGAGCAAATGACTAAATGGTTGAATTCAGGATTGTGGGGTCAGTGCCAGGAAGAGGTGGTCCCCTGGAGTCTGGCTTATTTTTGGTCAATTTCCTTTTCCTATTATGGGAGATCTGATGTCACTTTTTGAAAGGCTATCAACAGGAAGAAGAGGTGTGTTTATTTTCAGTAGTAGTATTCATGTTTCTATTTCTTTTACATAGTTAAATACAAAATAGTTTCAAATACAATAGTCTCAAAAACCCCTCTATGTGTATTCATTAAATTGTATGTTATGCTTTAAAATACACTATTAGTGCCACACTGGCATGGCTCAGTGGTTGTGCATCGACTTATGAACCCAAAAGTTCACAGTTCGATTTTGGTCTTGGAACATACCTGGGTTGCGGGCTTGATCCCCACTGTGGGGTGTGTAGAAGGCAGTCAATCAATGATTCTCTCTCATCATTGATGTTTCTGTCTCTCCCTCTTCCTTTCTCTTTGAAATCAATAAAAAAATATTTAAAAAATTTTAATACACTATTAGGTTGAACAGAATAAAATAATACAAACCGTAAAAGTTAAATTTTTTTGTGTGTGCAGGCCTAGGAAAGCCAAAGCTGAAAATAAGAAGCAAGAAGGGAAGTAGAGGACCCACTGTCTGCCTCACAGGTGCCCATAGCCATCCCTTCTGGGTTTTGTCCAGGTCCACAGGCATGTAGCATTTTATACAACTAGAGGCCTGGTGCACAAAAATTTATGCACTCGAGTGGGGGGGAAGGTCCCTCAGCCTGGCCTCTGCCCTCTCTCAGTCTGGGACCCCTCAGGAGATGACCACTTGCTGGCTTAGGCCTGCTCCCTGCGGGAGCGGGCCTAAGATGGCAATCAGACATCCCTCTGGCAGCCCGGGAGCCCTCCAGGGATGTCCACTTGCCAGCAGGGAGCAGACCTAAGCTGCAGTCGGACATCCTTAGCTCTGCTGAGGAGGCAGGAGAGGCTCCCACCACCACCGCTGTACTGGC